TTAATTATTTAAAATATATATATTTCTTATGAGTTAGTTCAATCTGTAACTCAATTACTGTTTAATAAAGTCATATAACTTTCGTGTTTATCTAAGTATAGGAAAGGATTCCAGCTGAAATACTGAGTGGCATCAGACAGAAAATGACCTTTGCACTTTTGCCAAGTTTTGTGCAGTTATATATGCATTGATTCATTGCTTCTTTCTGTACATACTGAACTGAGTGATTGCACAATAGACTGAATATCTGTGTATTGAGACAACTGATAATATGTAATATGTAGGTGATATGTTGTCAGTCAAAATGGTTTGGGCACTTACAAATTTGCTGTTGCTGATAATCATTTTGTTCTGTACCTATTAGGAGATTAGCCAGAAGTGTAAAACATCTAGAAAATTCCCCTGAATGGTCAGCGGACTCCCCTTCACACAAATGAATCCTCAGGGGCTGCAAAGCTGTCAGAGCTGGCTTGGGTAAGGGGATGGGACAGGACGGAGTAGGTAACTCTTAAGAGGAAGATTCTTGGCTATTAAGAGCCATTATGCAAGAAGCATAGTTTACAGAGGTCTTAACATTGTCTTAATTTGTTTCATTTGTCCATTTGCAACGAAGTCACAGAGGTTAAAAAGCACTATAGGAACACAGTACCACCTTCTCTTAACTATGATGAAACCCAGTGAGGACCAAGCCACTTACTTTATGAAATAGGCCTTGGGCACGTACAAATTCAGAAACCCCACGCCCTATTTATCAGTCATCATCCTTTATAAGGTTCTGATCCAGACCTGACCCACTCTACTTTTCTTCTACCCATAGCCTCTGCGTCTGATTTCCAAAGAGCTAAGCCTTCTGAGAACATCCTCTCTCGTGTAATTTCACCACCTTTTTCTGCAGAAAAATGTTCTCTTGTTCATACTGTTTGTGTGGCTCCATTGCTTCTAGCTCTAGAGGTTGGCCATAAAGTAGGTGCCAGTGTTTCAACTTTCAACTTTAGTGTATCTAACTTCAGTAGAGATTGCAGTGTAAGCCCCATAACAATATAGAATGAAAACTTGCAAAAATGTTTTTTTCCGTGTAATTTATAGCGTTTTCTAAAATGCCTTCTTGTTTTTCCCTCCCTTAGAGATTTGTCTAGAAACTGACTAACGATTCAGAGACAGAGATGTGAAATATTGCATCAATAAGATTTTTTTGGTTTGCTTTTTTTTTTTTCCTGAACCAAAAAGCATTTCTGAAATATTACCTATAAAATATGAGGCAAAATTGCCCAAGCTAACACATTTGCTTGGGAGGTGCTGAGTAACTCACAGCACTGATAATAGTGATTAATGTGGTCTACAAACTCCTGCTGACAAGATCCTGACACAGAATCACATAAACAAGCAAGATGCTGGCCTTTCACTCAGCTGCCTTTCTCCAAATATTCGTAAATTCACATACAAAAAGTGTAAATACTTCTGGCTGAAGTAGGGTAGCAACACACTAATAATATTTACATTTTAGGCTATTTTCTTACTGCTCCATTTAATCAAGTTAATTTTTTGTAAATTATTTTACAATTTTTGTACTTTTTTTCCCTCTATTGTACCAAAAGACAACAGTATGTGTCCTAATGTAGGACTAATTTAATTCCTTGCCATTTTCTTTGGATATTTTTATTTATTCCAGTTTTATTCAAGCGTTACAACTTTCCCATTTTTCAGTTAGTCTCATTTTTTTCTTCACCTCTCTTGGCACATTTCAGAACTAAGTGTTTTTCTTCCTTCCCTGACTATTAATGGTACATGTGTTTTGGACATTTGTCTTCCATGCTCTCATGTTTGTGCAGAGCTAAATAATTCATTCCCCTTTTGTTGTCAATTTTCCTGCTGAAAACAAATCTTTTCTGCCATCCCTTCAGAAACCAACTAACGATCTTTTGTGTTGTGTGCATTTGAAACGTGCTATTCTTTAGCTACTTGTTTTCTGCAAAGAATATAGTTGTTCTAAAAATGGGATAACTTCCCATTTGTCTGAAAACACTGTCCTTGAAGTTTTTTTGGTGACTTCTGTGGTCTCTATTCTTTCCCATTGCAGCCTGGCATCTAGTTTTGGCATCCTCCACTCTGTGGAAGAGCAGGGATGCTATTTCACTTCAGAGTGCTTCCTGTGCAAGGCAATGAATGCTGGTGTCCTTGAGAGATGCTGGAAGGCTCTTTTGAACTAATTTCTTTCCATTTACAACCAGCTTTCTGAGCAGACACCTCTTCGAAAGTGCTTGGAGGAAACCCCAAGGGGATTTCAGTTTTTCCTTTTTGGAATCCCGCTGTTTCTAGCTCTTTGGGTACAGTGTTTTGAATGGGAAAGTTGGTTGCCTGGCCCAGGTGAAAAATTATCGTCTTCTTCCCTCTCCCTCACTTCCTCTTGGTTTCATGATTAAGGTTTCTGAAAATACTGCACAACTGTCTCCTTGTGCTGGGTTATTCAGCATAGCCCTGAGGCTGCTCTTCTAAGGAGAGGTGCTTTAAATCGAGAATCCTCAACTCTAGAGATGAATTTTGTGGATTTGGCCTCCAGGGCTGACACATGTTCATCTCCCTTGTACTACTTTTGCCCTGCCTGAGAAAAACCTGATGAGAATTACCTCTGCATCAAAATCCTTTTACCCCTAGAGGCCAGACAATCACCATTTCTGTTGAAAGACTTGGGCATCTTGAAGGCAAAGGTATTATTACAGAATCTAAATGGAATGATGGTGATATTAAACACAGTTCTCTCTGACACTGATTTGACTTTTTATAGTTCAGTGAGCCAAGGAATGTAGGACAAGCTTATTTTCTTAGGTGCTTAAGGGAAGGCCTTGAATTAGGAGAAGCATCATGGTGGCTTTCAAGAAACAGATTATGTTTTCCTCTCAGAATATGGGGGTAATCTATATCACAATCAAACATCTGTGATGGGAGGCAACAATCATAATATCAGGTAAGTGAAACAGAACCTTCTGTGCCTTAGAGAGCTCAGAAAAATGGGAAATGTGAAGTGCACAGGTTACTTGAAAAAGTACAAGTAGCACCCATTCAGATGCATTTTGATGCTACTCTCCATAGCTCCATGTTTTTATTGCTGAATTTGTCAAAAAAGCTTGTCTCATCAAAGGGGGGCTGTAATGAGATACGTACGTGTAGATTGTCCAAGCTTTACCTTGTCTCATCAAAGGGGGGCTGTAATGAGATCTACACGTAATCTACGTGTAGATTGTCCAAGCTTTACTGTACTGCCAGCAGATATTGGATGTCCTTAGTTGTTTTCGATGGAACATACTACAACAGATGCATTATATTTAATAATCTACCAACAAAAAAAAAATTAAGAAAATACAAATTATTATTTCCATGCTAAGTGTGAAGATGGGACCTTTTTCAAGATGTGCGTGATGTTTAGAATAAGAATCCAGGCAATGGTGCTAAGAACCCTGTGGTATTTCCAACACTGGTATTTTCAGAGGATAAGTAGTATAGAGCTTTTGTCAGATCTTTTGTTCCAGCAGGACTGATGCTCAGGTACTCAAGCTGCTTTATCCATCAGAAAATCTCTCCTAAGATGCTGTCAGTGGTACCACTCTGGAATATTATTGTGATGTTCCACAGACTTCCCCATTCCTGCCTCTTCATTTCAAACTAGGAGAACAGCTTTAATTTCTGGTTCTCTAGTCAGGGGCCCGTCAGTAGATGTCTAAGGCCACCCGGATGAGCTGGCACCTCCCCTCCAGTTAGCCATTTACAGTGGTATGGTATGGTATGCCTCAGAACTTTGTTCCCCAGGTAAACTCCTTCCTTGGCTCTTGTAGTGATGAGAAGGTAACTGGAAAACTAACTTGTAGAGTAGTCAATGCAGGTGGACTCTGGATTTCCCTAAGTCTTGGGGTTTTATACATTATTTTTCCTCCTTCTCAAAGGTGGTGTGAATAGTTCAGTGCTACACTAGGGCTGTTCATTTAACAGTGTCAAGCAATGTAGAACAATTTGCATGGTCAGTGGATATTATCGAGTTCTGTTATTATCCTCTTATGAAGAATTAAGAGACAGTCCAAAACAACACAAATATTTTTTTCCTCTTTCTTATTGTAGTTACTTATTATGCTGGATATGAACACATCAGCATAGGACCATCTGTCTGTCTTAGGGATGGAGAGGGAGATGGGTTAGAATAACCTACGCTTTTGATTTCGGGGCTGCTTTCAGTCCTGGGGGAAGGGAGACAGGAATGTGCATCACTTGGAAATGGTCTTCTGTATGTACCCATCTTCACTTTCCTAGTTAGCTGAGAATGAAAGATCTGTATTAGAAAATTCAAAGATCCCTGGTTATTACTTAGATTTGTGGGAAAAAAATTACTCTTACTCTAAGTGGTGTAAAGTCTTTGCAGAATTGAACATCATTCTAACCATTAAGCCTGTTAGCCAGCAGTATGTGCTTTTTTTAATGGGGATGTGGAGTTTCAGCTATAATTCTATTTGCACGTGCCCAAGGGTGGGGAGTAGCATTCCCCAACTGCTTCTGTTAATCTTTTACTCCTGTCCTGCTTCACCATATTTATTGTTGATTCAGAGCCTGAGATTTTTGCTAGATGTGTGTTATAATGCTATTTAATAGAAGGTACTATCATTGACTTTAGAAATAGAAGTAATATGTTGTTGTATTAAATTCAGATTGGCTCCTGACCTTTGCCAGAAGTGAAGGAACTTCAGATACAGGGCTTTGTTTAGTCTTTGTTTTTCTTCCCTCTTCTCTCTTGCCTTCCCCAAATGGTGTAACATGTAAGTATTTGTTATTAAAAAGGAAAGGAAAACAAATTGACAATAATGAGAGATTGAAAACTTCATTAAAATAACTGTACGGGGAATGGTGGGTCAGCTCAGAAACCTGCTCTGAGAAACAACATTGAATGCAGTTTGCAGTTGTGCCACACAGTGTCACAATTGGCCTTCACTTCCTTCCACTCTGTGTCTCTCCCATCGCAGGTGAAGATATTTACAAAGCCAGAGAGGAGGGGTCTGAAGTGTGGGGGGCAGCTGAAGTGCAGGAAGATGAACATACTCGTGTAGAAGTTCCGCTGGACCAGGTATTGATCGAGCTTTAAATCAATGGCTTTTTTTTTTTTTTTAAGGATCACAGGCTGTTTGTTGCTTTTCTTTCCCCAATTTCTTTCAAGTGTACAGCATAATTCTTTGGGGATGGTTGTAACAACGATGTGGCTTCTTTTATGGGAGCTTTGGCAAATCTTCCTTTCTGTGTTAAGGTGTCAAATACTAGTTACCTTTCATCAGCTTCAGAACTGCTCTGAGAGCCCTTACAGGGCACTAGAGAGTCAGGACTCCCTGCTGTCACAACCTACCAAATAGATCCACCTGGATCACGGTCCCTTTATGCTGGTGGAGCACTGTAAAGGGACTATGGCAGAGAATCAAGGTCAGAATTCCTGCAGTCTTGAACCACAAACAGGTGTGGATTTATCTGATTTTTATTAAAGCTGCCAGCACTTTCTTCTGTTGAAACTTTTTAACTGTAAGACTTATGTGCAGTAAATAGTCAATTGCTCACAATTCAGTCTTCTTTTTCATCTTACATGTTTGTAGAACTTTGCGTCAGGTTCACAAGATGTTGCATTGTGATTCTGGTGTCTGTTGGTAGTGGCCTGAGGTCAGCCACCTAGGCCACAAGATAATATTTCTGGTCTGTGCTGCAGTGTAAGGAATCTGTTTATCCAACAGATTTCTCAGGCAAAAAGTCATCCCAACAACATAAGGGATTCTTGGGCATTTTCCTGACTTCCTGGTGGTCAGCTCAGTGCCGAGGAACAGTTGTTAATGTGAGATTATAAATAAATGGGAGTTAAAAATAGTTGTTTGTAAATACACTTTAATTACCCAGGGCAACATGCTGGAGCACAAACAATCTGGGAGATTTTTGGAGTGTGCTGGAGACAATTTTTTGGTGTAGGTAGTGGGGATACACATTTAGGAGAGGCATTCTGCTGGATTTTGTACTCATGAATAAAGGGGAAGTGGTTGGGGATGAGATAGTGGCAGTCTTAGTTGCAGTGGCCATGAGATGATAGGGTTTAAGACCCTTAAAAAGGTAGAGATGGAAAATAAGAAAATAAAAATACTGAAATTCAGGAGAGTGGACTTCGGGAAACTGGTAGGCAGGAGCCTGTCCAAAGCTGCCCCGAAGTGCAGACGAACACAGGAGATCTGGTTGATCTCCAAGGGCATCTTCCTCAAAGCACAAGAACTATCCCTATGTACAAGAAAAGAAACAGGTCTAGTAGGTTTGAACAGAGGACTCCTGATCTCATACTAAAAGAGGCAGAGTGTGGTAGGTGGGGGATGAACTGCTAAGGAGCAGTATAGAGACATAGCCTGAGTGTGCAGGGATGGACCTGGGAAAGCCAAAGCTTGTTGAGAAATGGAAATTGATACATGTGGTTGGGAATAACCAACATGGATTTAATATGGGCAAATCATATTTAACCAACCCCTTTGCCTCAGTAGTGAAATAACTGGCTGTGTGGATGAAGGAGGAGCGGTTATTATCATTTGTCTTGCTTTCAGCAAAGACTTCCATATTTGTAGGTGAGATTGGAAGAATTGTGGTAGATATGGGGAGGAAGATACCCTTAAGGAAGGTAGGGACTGGATTTGTGGGCTACAAAGCAGACAGAAAACTGGCTTGTTCAGTGGAAAGTAAAAGGTCAATTGGTTGAAATGTAACTGGCACCTATTTATGGATGGTGGTCCTCAGGGTTTGGTACTGGATCTGATACTTTTTAATATGTTCATCAGTAACGTGGCTGATGGCATAGGATGCAGCCTTATCCAGGCCCAGTACTGAAGCCAAACTGTCGTTATCAGGGGATATGCAGGGCTGCCTTTCAAAGCAATCTCAACAGCTTGAAGGAATAGGCTGACTCAAGCCCCATGAAGCTCAACAAGGAGAAATATGAAGTTGGGCACCTGAAACACAGTAGCTGTGTCTTGGTACAGTCTGGGCACAGGTAGGCTAGAAAGCAACTACAGGAAAGGGCCATGCATCTCCTGTGGATAGCAAGTTGATGATGAGTCAGCAGTACTCCCTTTTGGTGATGAGCTTTGACTGTGCAGGCTGGGCTAGTAACATCAAAGGAACATCATCTTCCTTGACTTGTCATCTCTAAGGTTGCATCTAGAATATTTTGTCCAGTTTTGAGTCCTTCCCAGTACAAGAGAGAGGCCAGGCTGGATGTGGCCTTGAGCAACCTGCTCTAGTGGGAGGTGTCCCTGCCCATGGCAGGGGGGTTGGAACTAGATGATCTTTGAGGTCCCTTCCAACCCAAACCATTCTATGATTCTATGATTCTATGATTTACCAATGGGAGAGAGTCAACAACACGTTAAAGGGCTTATGACACAGAAAGAAGCTTAGGGGACTGGGTTGGCTTCACCTTAAAGGCTAAGCAGGAGAGGGCAGGTCAAACTGCTCTCTTCAGCTGCAGATGGAGTAACAGAGAAGACCGAGCTGAACTTTTCTCTGTGTTGCCCAGCAAAAGGATGAGGCAAGGGTCAAAAGTTGCAGCAAGGAAAATTCTAATTTGACAAAAGAAAAATTTTTTTCAACATTGAGAACTGCCAGCACTTTCCTGTCTAGAGGGGGTGGAGAACCTTTGTCTTTGGTGATATTTAAAACTAAACCAGACAGGGCCTCAAACAACTTATTTTTACTTTGAAGCGGGGCACTGGCCTAGATGATCTCTAGAGCAGTGTTCTTCAAAGTGGATTGTGCACAGCCCAGGGGTTGTGCGAGACAATCCATGGGAGTGCAGGAAGAAAATGTTAGAACTTCAGTAGTACTTGTATATAATTTATAAATAAAGATACAAGTACTGGGGATTCGTGCTCAAAAAGTTTTTACTGATAGCAGTGTGCAGTCAAAACAGTTTGGAGCCCACTGCCCTAGAGGTCTCTTCTAACATAACTTTTCTGTGATTCTGTATTTGTTCATCTTTGATTATTCAGTCCTATAATCAACTTCTTTTTAGTAAGCTTTAGGGGTTTTTGCTTACTATTTAGTTGGCTGGGTTTTTTTTCAATTTATTTGTATTGTGTAAAAGAATACTAGATGTATATACATTTTGCTTGTGTTCTGCTTTTAAAAAATGCCTGAGAGGAAAACAGAAGTTTTATGGCATTGTATTTGTGTATCAACTTCTGCCTGCATTACTAGTGTGTACATTAATGAAGGATGCATATGAAATTGCTGCTGTAGCCATTTTGAAGAATGGCACCCTACCATCTGAAAAAAAAATCTGGATCTCTCAATTTTATTTTAGGCTGCTGTTTCTAAGAAAGAACATCCTCAGTGATTTATTAACTTTAATGGGAAGGAGTGTTGCTCAGCTATTTTATAGACATTGTTTTTAAAGATACATGAATCAGGTGATTGAAAGAGGCAAGAGCGTGGCTGCCCCGGTCCCTGATAGAAGGAATGCTACAGCTGTGCCTTTTCACAGCAAATACCTGCCCCCACCCCAGAGACTTACGTGCTAAACACCATTGGGATCATCAGCCCTGTTAATTGCACTTGTCCTTGCGAGGTGTTGTGATAATTAGGATGTGTTGGGTTGTACTGATAGTCGTGACATCGGGGAAGAACATGCTGCCTGTCGGCTTAATCTTTGTTTCTTATGGCATCCTGAAGTATATCCTGCCCTGGTCTTGACAGTGTAATAATCAAATTGAGGAACGATTAGCCTGTTTATTGGCCTCTGAAGGTGCGTAAAGAATTCCTCTGGGGAGCGTAAAGCCTTTGACAGTGTAAATTGGGTTGTCAGGTCTAGTTTTTAGGCTGACTGCAATTCATATGAAATCCAAGAGCCCTGGAGACGGCTGCATTGCTTCTCCGTGGAGATCCTACAGTGTGCAGGCAACAGCTCTGCCCATTCTGCTGTGTGTCTCACCACTTTGCCTCAGCCAGAGGATGGGGACCATCACTGGGGAGGGGGAGAGTAGTTAACTCTGCGGTACCGCTTCTGTACTTGGCAGTGGCCGCTGCGGTTATAGATGCAGTTGTGTTGTGGTTTCAGC